AGTTTGCATTAAAACAAGGTAGACCAAAATGCCCTTCAACCTTTGTGAACTATCTAGACAGAAATGCACTATGTAGATAGAAGCCACACTGCCTTCTCTGGGAATTTGTGATTTTCCTGTCCCTAGAAAACGCATCACAACTCTACTGGATAAGGCTTCTTCCAGAACACAGTGGAAACAGCTAGCTATGTTTTTGGGGGGTTGTTTGTTTTTATTTTTAATCTAGGCTGGTAATAGTGCCCGTCTTGCACAAAATGATACAGAGATTAGAGCACTCACAGGAGATACGATCAAGTTTCATTTTTTTTCTGTTTTAGAGATCCACATCCACAGCGTCTATTTATTATAGGCTAGGTTATAAGCTATTATATTAGCCTTTAGATTAGATTAGGCTTTAGATTATAGAGGTACTTTCAAACCTTTTGCTATGCTGAAAAAAAGTTTGATATAAGTTGAAATTTGACCACATGAAAAAGCACCATCCAAAAGTTACTAGAACTACGTAGTCTTCGGCTTATGGCACTTCACATAAACTGTCATAATCATATATAAACATGGAGCAGGGACCAGAATTCAAACTCCTTTTACCAAAAATATGAAGAGGTGAGTCCTTGCTCAACCTAAATTTGCTCTTCTTGCCTCTGTGAGGACAGAAACTTAACTCCATTCACTGACTAACCAAAGGCAATGTGGAATAGCAATGTGCCTGAACCAAAACAAGAGAATGATGACAGAGACTGGCATGGAGAAGATGGAAAGGAGCAGACTGGGATTTGAAGCTTGATGAAACTCAGACTGGGAAGAAAAATCAGTTGAAGGCTGGATTTCAGAGGAATCAGTCTCCCACTACAACCACAGGAGTGATACAGGTTGAAAAACAGGACCTGCAGCACATGTACTCAATAACTGAAGGTCTGACTGCTAGAGAGGCTGTAGCTGTGTATCTATAGTTATATTGTAGCTATCACTGCAATTTACAAACTGCAGTCAATGGGGTGGTACAATCTTACAATCTGACTCTGTGGCTAGCAGTCTCAGCACGTTTGTAGTCAAGGTCAATCACTGTGCTGAAGCCCTTGTTCCTACATCTTCACTGCTATCATTATCTGTGCTGTGATTCCTTCAAGAAGAGCATAAACAAAGCTGTACTGTCGACCCAATTATCTGCAGAACTCTGTCCTGGCAGCCTGTGCTTCTTCGGAAATTCTCATAATTGTAACTACTCATACACATATGAAGCCGATTATGCTATTTCTACCTCTAAACATTCCCATTCTACATTTAGCTGAAGTATTGGTCTCTTGACTAACTCCTCATTTAAGATGGTCAATAACAATGATGTGACAATGCTTCCAGCTGTTTTTATCATTAGCAGACATTGCTCAAAAATATTTGTTAAGGATCATATCTCAGTTTTATTTCCAGTACTTACCTATAGCAGAATCTCTCCAGCTAAATGTTATGCTTTGTCCCCTAATTCCTATTTTTGTGGCTACTCTGAGAGAAAACTATATATGGAATATCATATTCTTTTATTCCAGCTCTTGGAAAGCAAGAATGTTCAATAGTATCTTATTTTTATGATGGCCAGAAATGTAACCACTAAAGCATTAAAAAAATCTTGGTAGTTACCGTAGGAAGATTTTATAAGAACTGGAGATCCATGGAAGAGGGTCTAGTAGTATCATACCATTTATAGAAGCTTTGTCTCAGTTTAACAGACGTGTCGTTGCAGAGTAAACTGTTTCCAATGAAGTCTGCAATGCTAGAACTAGAGACTGCTGTAGAAATGTTTTGGGGGTTTTGCATCTTTGAAAGTTTTCAACACTTTTTACTGTGCTGATATTTAAGATTATTAAAAATTCTGGAATCTGTGTAAGATAATTATTCAGTTATACACGTGGAAAAAATGTTTTTCTTTTGTACTGGCTGAGAGCCAGAAAATATAGAATCTGGAATTTCCTAAGAAAGGTATTTTCAGACATAAAGTACTCATTTGTGGAAGTCAATAGTTTTCACAAAAATGTGCATCAGTTTTACCAAGGATGGAATTTCTGCTCCAAAAGAAAGATTAATTTTGGAAAAAAGCAATAGCGCCACATTAATCATAAATCATAACATACAAATGGAATTCACTCTCTGCTAAAATAAGAAGAGGCATTTAAATTTCAGTCTCCCAGAACCCAGCTGGATATCCTTGCTCTCTGGCTTTTTTTTTTTTTTTTTTTTAATTATTTTGGGGTTAGATGAAGCTGGTTGTTAGCTCCATTCTGATGTAGAATTGGGCACCTTCTGAAACCCTGAAATTTTTACAAGACACAAAGATTTTTCTGTCAAGCTCTTCCAGGACTTCACCAATGGTGAGACTGTAAAAGAGAGTTACTTATTCTGAGAATACCTGTATTACTGCTATGTTAGGTTTAAAATGATATCTGCAGAGCAATTTACGCAGAACTTTCTATAACAGCCCTTTCTAAAATGACACTTCCCAGCACAGTACAGATAGAAATGCCATACTGCCTGTCAGAATTATCTCTGGCTAAACCTTTTTCCACAACTGCAATAAGGAAATCAAGTATGTCATGGAGAAAACTGCTCTTTTCTTTGGCATATTGAAAACTGCTAGCTCATTAGGTCACAGATGGACACTGTCACAATCTCACCTAAAATCCACTTTCATTTTACCCTTGTACCTCTGACTGCGTACATAAACCAAGAATCAATCTTTATGTTTGTTCTCCTTTGATGTGTAAACACAGTATATTTATATAACTGTAAAATCTATTTTTAACTAGATGAGAACTGGAAAAATGAACTCGTCATTTGTGTTCAAGAGTAACTGATTAACTGAGTAACTCTTCCCTATTTTGGGATCTTTAGTAGGGTACAGATTTTAAGAGATGTCAAGTACCCTTATCTCATTGTTTCTTCATGATGAAGTCTGGATTTTCTGATATGTTACTGGACTGGCATGAGTATCAGAAACACATTTTTGTACTTTTACCTAAAACGTGCTGTTGTAGATCATATCTATCATATTTTTTTAGACCAATTCGAGATATTGATCTTAATCTAAAAACTGAAATTAATAATTTGTGTTCTTGACCCCCTAGAACAGGATGTTCTCTGCTGCATTCTGAAGTAAATGTGAAAGATCCAACAGATTAGCTAACAGCTTGAAAGATTGCATGCAGCAATGGCAACACTTTATAAACTGAATTCACTGGTTTGTAATTTGGAGATTTTTCACTACCTAACTTCTTTCCTTTCTTCCATAAAAAGAAAAACAACAATAAACCAAAACCATCTCTGTCTTCAAGTTTTAGGGAGAGAAACAATCTAGAAAGGTTATCTCTCATTTCACGAATGAACACAGAAGAAATATACTCTTTTTTGTACCCATAAATAAAAATCTTATTAGTTCTCAGAGCAAGAAAGATGAGATATTGTAAAGCTGAGTTTAAAATATAAGTACAATGAATAAAACTAATGCAGGAGTCACTATCTTAAAACTTACATCATTCTTGAAACAGATCTCTCTTTTTAAAAAGGAAAGAGGTACCAACCAGCAAAGCTAACTTTTATTCTATTTTTCAAATGCATTCCTCAATTTGATAACACACTTTACATATACCTTACACTAAAAAGACACAAGGAAAGCAAAAAATGTTTTTAAAAATTACCAAATCACTCCAAAACGGCATATATGTTCATCATAGGAAAGTTTAACAATAATTAACCCACAGGTGATGCATAAGAAAAGTCCCATTGAGGAAATATTTTTTGAAACAAATTCTTAAAAATGAGGGATTAGTAACTGCTGCACTCCTATTGGGAATCAGGATAATTCTGAGATATCTGCACCTTGCCAAATGTCTAAAATGCAAGATAGTAAGAAGTAGAAAACAGCTACTGAAAGGGGAAAGGAATATAAAAGCTCCTTATAAAGAGACAGGGCAGTGCTCATTGTTATTCAAGCACATTAGTTGCCATATCCTGTTTCCATTGACTCCGGGGGAAGCTTTAGCATTGGCTTCAAACAGGTGCAAGTCCCATGAGACTAAATGGAATAAAACGTACAGTCACGGTATGAAAGCAACAGTGTATAAAGTGTGGTGAGACAGGATACGTAATTCCAATCTGGTACACAAGAATCTGACAAAGCTATTTAAATGCAGTGCCAAGTAAGGATGCAACTGAAAAAACAGACATTTCTAAACAGAAATTTGGCAGGCCTACATTCAATGCTACAAGAAAAGTGCAGGAAAAATGTTACAGAAATGAGAGTGCTAAACTATAGCGGGGGGAGAGAACAAGGGAGACCCAGACACAGCAATAAGCATCATTCTGTTCTGTAGCAATACAATATCACTTGTTCAGGACACAGCTGTTGGCATGCCTTGGTGGATACTGCAGACCGGTCTGCTCCGAGAATTGTTGGGATTTAGACCCAAGTATATAACCCATTTTTATTTATTTTCCCCTGTATTATCATGAGCATTTGAAAATGTTTGGGGACTTTTTTTTTTTTTAAACTTACATAATCTTCAAAAAGAAGTCTTAGGCTATATTCTTACATCAGTTGAGTCATGCATGATGTCCTCAATTAATTCAATAAGGAAAGTAGCTGAGATGTCATTAGATTAATTAGAAGGTGGTCAAAAATAGAGTACTTATCCCAAAGGAAACTATGTGACTTCAAAATTTCTTGCCAGACTGAATCAGAATAGAAAGCTATGCAACATAAAAACTGTCTAAAATGAGTGTAATAAATATCAAAAAGCCTCAATATTAAACTCATCTGGATAAGTATTACAGCAGGATGACCGAACCTTGACACTTGATTTTAAAACTGGAATTTGAGGTTAAAACAAAGACTGAAGGTAAAAATTATGAAGGGAATAAGGCCAGACTAGAAATTACTGTAAGAGGTAAGACAGAGAAGAGATTAAACAGCTCTTCTATAGTTAATGTCTTATGATGAAAAGGTAAACATATACCTGTGCAAGCATGGGAAATCCGAGGTTCCTGCATCCATTACAAGGTGTCAATGCCTCCCATAAACCTGAAGGACCACAAGTATTTTCACCTGCATCATCATCTTCTTCCTCTCTTGGTGACAGACATGTTGAAGAAGGCCTCTGTGCATAAAGAAAGAGTACTTTCAAATTAAACACAGTGATATATTGTAAAGAAATATTTTACTTAATGAAAAGAACTTAAAAGATTCCCATTTATAAATTCCAAAATATTAACTGCCATTTCAATACAAAGTAACTACTCAACTGTCAATCTGCTGTATGAAAATCACACTTTCTAAGGAAGGTGCATACTGACTTATCTGCAATCATACTTCAAATATGAGTGAACATAATGTCATACATTAAAAATATGTATTTATTTTCTTCATTATCAAGTAATTGGCAATTTCTACTTCATTTTACTTTAAAATTTGCTTTAACATCATTAAGTTTAGGATATCTGACAGAGAATAAAACCTAACTTTTATATATAAAAAAGACGCTATCCCTAAGAAGGAAGTAATATAAGCTAAGGGGATCTTGCTTCAATAGTCACCTGTTGTGTTTAGAAATGAAAAGTACAGCAGTATTACATTTGCCTGGATCAGTCCAAGGTTTTTGCAGAAAAAAGATAAATTCAATCAAAACATGAGGTTTCAATTTTTATTTTATATTTACCAATAATAAACATGTTAGCATATTTTGTAGGCAAAACTTTATTTAAAAATGACCTGTCTTCTTTTGTTTCATTAGCTAGAAGGGAAGAAAGATATGGGAAAAAAATCATTCAGTTGTAAGCATATTGGTCTCCATGATAAGGGAATAATGCTGAATTTTGCTTAAACCACTATCCTAATTTTTTATGACAAACAGAAACAGGAGGAGTGGACAATTCCCATTTATTTATGCTATTTTGCTACACAAGATAGTCCACCCCAACTGAATGAATTGTAGTGGCAACTTTTATTGGTTTCAGGAGGAGGAGGCGGCAAGTTAAGCCAGTAATGAACGACTTTTAAAATCTCATGTTAAAAAAAAAAAAAAAGACAACAAAAAATGTGAATTTTACTCACATCTTAATTCTTTGCCCACGTTTACATTGGAATATGTAATAGCTGTTCTAGCCTGTTTGACATTTGTTTGTGCAGCCTACCTGATATTCAGATACTAAATGCTGTCTTTAGGAATGATTGTTTACCATGAACAATCTTTCAGAAGTGGCTGGATTTTTGCCTGACCAACATAATGCTGTTCGAGAAACGGCTGACCACATCTATTAATCTGGTGGTAACCTTAGCTCTAAAGCACTGTTATAAGGCCCATATAAAAATTTAAAAAAAAAACCCAACCAACAAACAAAACCAAACCCCAAACACTTAACTGCGGATTATTTTAGCCAATAGAATAAAGAAAAGTGTGGAGTCTGCTGCAAGAAAGGGAATGCAGAGGTGAAGGAAAATTAGGGGGGGAAAGAAGTGAAGAGGCAGCAGCAGTTCTGAAGATGAACACAAGCTGATGGAAACTGTAAGAGAAGCAAAGGCACAGCACAGATAGCTACTAATTCAAATTGTGTAACATCTGAGGATCATTTAGCCTTTGACTCTTGTGCTAACTTCTTAGACATAGATGTGGTTGGTATACCATTATTTTAAGCAGAAAAAAAATATTTCTAAATTCTATTTCAGCTCACTCACCAAAGATGAGAAACACGATATATCCATCGCTAATAGTCCAATTCCCCTCAGTTAGAAAATGGTTGTTCCCTTGTTGCAGACTTCATGAATCTAGGCATATCTTCTAAAGCTAGGCGGATTTATTTACTTTTTATTTTAAAAGTCAATTTCTAAAACATTCTTAGCATGATATTTCATGAGGTTATTTTGACAGTCAAGTGGTACCACAGAATGCGTTGCCATAGCAACCAATATTCCTACACAGATTATTAAAAGGATCGAGTTAACTCTGCAGAGTGTGGGTCGTGAAGGACTATTATTGCTATACATTTGCATAGACAAAGGAAGCAGACTACAGGTCTTTCCCTTCTATTTATGATGCCACCTTCCATGGCGGTTTCCTTACGTTTATAGTGTTGTACCAGAGGATAAAGTGCTTCTTGCCCCCTGGAGCAAAAAGCAAAGAACTGCAGCAGCGCTAGGTACAGGAAAGCGGGTAACACACATTAGCTGTGACTTTACAAGCCAATGTGAGTGAATGAAGACAAGAGTCACTAAAAAAAAAATCCACCAAAAGCATAGTCAATGCACCTTCTAAGGTAAAAAATACACATGCGTAATATCAGAGAGAATTTTTTTTACACAATTAAAGGAATAATGAAATTCAATACATTTGAATCAAGAGAGTACATGTGAGTATTTAGCCATTACTGGAACAGAGTAGAAAAAAAATCATAGCAAAAATATTATTGAAAAACCAAAAAAATGCACAAGCCAAATGAAAGAATTGCATTATTTCCATTAGATTTATTTTATATAAATCGCCTAAGATAGAGCGGATATCACACAAATTTAAATTAATGTTGTCAATATGAATGAGAAGAAGTGGGGAATGGTATACAGGCAGATCTCCTAGTCATTCAGAAAAGGACCAGTCAATATCAGAGTTCATTAGACACACTGTTGGAATAAATTGACTGGTACTCTTACGCAACTAGACAATCCAGGTATGAATTACATGATACAGTCAAATTTACAGACTACCGCAGAGCAGGGTTGGCTCTTTTTATACTTAATGAGTGATTTCTGTCTTCTTGCCCAGATTTCTGCTACTGATAAAGCACTAAAAAGGAAGCCTTAGGAGAAACGTATGCAAAGGGTCAAGAAACTGGTATCTCTATCACCTTTCTCACCCATCCCTGCTGCCAGAAGCCCAGTTCTTCCCAGACAACAGGTGCAAAGGGAAAAGTGGGAGCTGCTGCAGGGATAGAGCTGCATTTGCAAAGAGGAGTGAAAGAGTTAATAGTTGCATGACAGAAAGCGGAGTCAGAAGTTCCCCAAATGGGGTAGACTGGGTTTGCATACCCTGGGGACAGAGAGGCACCTGGAGGAGACAGGTGAGATACAGAAAGACCTACAATCAATCCACAGACCTCAGACTGTCACAAAAGCCTATAAAACTCCTGACCCAGACCACCCAGTTTTCCCGCTGTTCTCTCCCAGCCTTCATTGCTTTCCCAGAACTCCCTCATTTTTCTGTTCTGTTGTATAATTTAATTTTGCCTCCTCAGAGATCCTTTGGACACGAAAATCTAATTCTGTGTGTGCTGCTGGGAAGCCTTGAAATAGCCCTGTGGGAAGAGTTTTAGTGAAACTGAAGTTATTTATGCCTACTTCTCAGAGAAAAAAAAAAAAAAAAAAAAAAAAAAAAAGAGAGAGGAAGAGATTTCTGTCACCTAAAGAAAAATAGACACAATTGAGAACCTTTTATTCATGCCTGTTTTGATTCCAAAAAGTAAATGTAGTTAGAAAATGCCACCTAGCTCATAGTTGCTAAATTAATTGAATTTGACATTATGAAATGGTTAAGTCAACATAAACTGCAATATTAAGCTTCAAAAAGGCCAACTCTGCCTAAGCTAGAAAAGTCATGAGTATAAGCATCATATATCCTTGAACAAAACAGACAGAAAAAATATAAAAAGAGAAAGTTGGTAGGGAAACCACAAGACATTAATACAGAATAAAAGACTTAATAAAAATTCTGTTTTTTACTGGAACACTGAATTAAGTGTTAAAAATTGCTTATAGCAGTAAGAGACTAACAATATAATTTCTCCATACATAAAAAAGAGAGAATAACAACTTAGCAGTAAGGGAGTAGGAAGATCTAGCATAAGGACATTGGACCATTACAATTAGTGCCATTTTCCATGTACTCTGCTGGGCCTGACACATCACCTCTGATTTTCAGATCTGATGAGCATTTAGATTATGCCTTTTAAAAATTTAAGTATGGAAGTCTTCCTTTTCATGTCTTCATCTACACAAAAGGCAAAATTTGCCCAGTAGGATACGTTAGACTGAAGGATACTTTATTCTGTAAATAGGCTATTTGTTCTCCCAGTAAATGTATGTAAATCAGACTGGCTACCTCAATAACTTGACATCTCTCTCCTGGTCTAAGAGAATAAGCCAAAGTTTACCAACAGACAGAATGATAAGTATACACCAAAAAACAGAGAAAGTCTGTTCAACTCTTGAATGTCAACAGGAAAAAAAGAAAAGAGAAAAAAAAAAAAGAGAGCACCTTTAATCTTAACTATTACTTAAAGCTACCAAGTTCACAGCTCAAGAAGCTTTACACCATGTATAAAACACAAAGTTCTGGTCTTCCTTTTTTACATATGGCAACAATTTCCTGACTACCATATGACCTCACTGTCTTGTCAAGTTTATGAATACAGTAAATCACAAAAAAACTCTTATTTCCTTTTATTCCCTCTTTTTCTCAGTTTTTAATGAAAACTGGTCTGCTTTCAGCCTGGACATTTGTAAGCAGCAATTGCTAGGCAAAGTGTGATATAATTCCCTCCTTTCAAGATACTACTTTCCTGTAGTAATCCAGTGAAATCTAAAACCAAACATAAAAATGTTCCTTTACTTCTTGTATCTCTGTTTTTGTATAACGATAATCCGTTTGCAGCATATCACACATTAAGAAAACAAGCTTTTGGAAATGGAGCAGCAAAAGCAAAATTCGGAAGGCAATCTCCTTCTGCTTATGGAAGGCAGAAAGCACCCAGACATTTGATAGGGTAAATGCTAACACTCAGTCTGGAACAATGAAGTCAGTAGGAGGTTTCTTCTGAAGAAATAGTTTGTCAGGCATAGAACCATGCAAATATTTCATATGATTTGAACCGCTGGATTACAGAGGCATGCCTGGCCCAAAGGATATGTAATTATGTCGTGAAACACAAGTGACAAAAAGTACAGTTCTATATTCTAATAACTCTAATTTTATGTTATACTAAGAACTAATAAAGAGGGAAATTGTTCCTGAATATCCACTATAAATTAGGCTGAGCAGGTTGTTCTCTGCTGCTGCTGTTCCCAGCAGCTGTAGCAGCCAAGCCAGCGACAGCGGAGCTGGGATACTGTTCC